TTTTAAACGACTCCAGCTCTGATTTATTCATCAAACCATATGCACTACGTGGGTTACTTAACCACTAGTAAACGAGGACCCCCTTCTGCTAGGTGCATCTTACAGTGCAATAGTGTACAATTTTACTTGGGGGTTACAGTGGTACCTCAGGTTACAGACGCTTCAGGTTACAGACTCCGCTAATGCAGGAATAGTACCTCGGGTTAAGAACTTTGCTTCAGGATGAGAACTGAAATCGAGCAGCCGCAGCGCAGAGGCAGTGGGAGGCCCCATTAGCTAAAGTGCTGCTTCAGGTTAAGAACAGTTTCGGGTTAAGAACGGACCTCCGGAACAAATTAAGTACTTAACCCGAGGTACCACTGTACAGATGAAGGAAACTGTCAATTTTCATCCTGCAAGTTTCTCATTTCCCGCCCACCCTAATCTTAAATTCAGTTCTCGACAAAACAAAAACAAAATCATTTCCTATGGGAGAAGGATGAGACATTGGCCATCATGATGACATTCATAGCCATGACCAAAGAAGAATCCAAAATTGCAAGTATTGGTCCATTATCACACATGTACCAAAGAGCAGTTTTTATTGCATAAAGCCTCTCCTCTTCCCAGAGGGGAGGGGTATTGAGTGGGAATTGCTTCCCGTGCTCGCAGGGGGGGGGGGCGTGGCCGGGCTCCCTGCGTCACAGGAATCCTGGGCCTGCGTCATGCCCCCCAGCCAGCCAATCCGGCTGGGTGAGGAACGTGGTTTAGCCGCATTTAAATGGCTGCGGGTCCACAAAGAAGAAGAAGAAAAGTTTGGATTTGATATCCCGCTTTATCACTACCCTAAGGAGTCTCAAAGCGGCTAACATTCTCCTTTCCCTTCCTCCCCCACAACAAACACTCTGTGAGGTGAGTGGGGCTGAGAGACTTCGGAGAAGTGTGACTGGCCCAAGGTCACCCAGCAGCTGCATGTGGAGGAGCGGAGACGCGAACCCGGTTCACCAGATTACGAGTCTACCGCTCTTAACCACTACACAACACTGGCTCTCACCGCAACAGCTCTTCCTTGTTTTGTTCTTGCTTCCTCAGATCACCTGCCTGCCCTCCCTCTAGGTTTTGCTTCAGCACCTGATCTTGCTATGAACCTCAGTTGGTCGCCTGTTCAAAGAACCTGGTAGCAATTTTTTCCACTTGGCTGACTGGTTCCAGCCACTTGGTTTTTCACCTACCTCTTAGCAAATCGTCACAACTTTGTAAGGTTTGGCGGTTAGGCATTGGAAAACGTCTTGTGTGTCGGAGGGGAGGTTGTGGCCATCACTTACCCCTCCCCTTGAAGGATATTCCGTTAAAGGAATCCGGTGGTTGTCGTTCCTGTCCGATGCCCGGGTGGTGGATAGGGCCATGGCACAACCCTCCAGTGACTCTAAGGGAAAGCTTCCAGTTGATTTGCACCACCAAGCTGTTAACCCTTGTGTGACTCCCTGCTGAGCAGACAGGAGTCAAGCATAGTCTGTTCGGTTCCAATGCCTAAGCCAATACCACTCACATTCTGTAGCCAATAAAGTTGTGGCCTTTTTTAGCCCATTAACCTAAAATAGGTAAAGGTAAAGGTACCCCTGACCATTAGGTCCAGTCGTGACCGACTCTGGGGTTGTGCGCTCATCTCACTCTATAGGCCGAGGGAGCCGGAGTTTGTCCGCAGACAGCTTCCGGGTCATGTGGCCAGCATGACAAAGCTGCTTCTGGCGAACCAGAGCAGCACACGGAAACGCCCTTTACCTTCCCACCAGAGCGGTACCTATTTATCTACTTGCACTTTTGATGTGCTTTTGAACTGCTAGGTTGGCAGGAGCAGGGACCGAGCAACGGGAGCTCACCCCGTCGTGGGGATTCGAACCGCTGACCTTCTGATCGGCAAGTCCTAGGCTCTGTGGTTTAACCCACAGCGCCACCCGCATCCCTAACCTAAAATACTTGTGTCCTAATAATAATAATAATAATAATAATAATAATAATTTAATTTATATCCCGCCCTCCCCAGCCGAAGCCAGGCTCAGAGCAGCTAACAATAAAAGTAACACAGCATCCTAAAATCAATCCATTCTAAAATCAATTCAGAATCAAATTAATGGCAACCATTGGGCTAGAATGTCTTATTTCATCACAAAGTGGGGAGCGGGGTCTCAACTCACAAGCCTATGTATCATTTCAATGGAGTAACCTCTTACTTCTGACTGCACCAGTTTTGTTAAGCTGCAACAAAAGATCTCCAGCCAGCTGTATGCAGCCAGCTGAAGTTCAATCTTTAGCTTTAAATTCGAAATGCAAACAATCTTGCTAAGAAGTGCTGCCATTTAGAATGAAGTAGGAACCACATCAGGGACGTGGGTGGCGCTGTGGGTTAAAACACAGAGCCTAGGACTTGCCGATCAGAAGGTCAGCGGTTCGAATCCCCACTATGGGGTGAGCTCCCGTTGCTCGGTCCCTGCTCCTGCCAACCTAGCAGTTCGAAAGCACGTCAAAGTGCAAGTAGATAAATAGGTACTGCTCCGGCAGGAGGGTAAATGGCGTTTCCATGTGCTGCTCTGGTTCGCCAGAAGTGGCTTAGTCATGCTGGCCACATGACCCGGAAGCTGTACACCGGCTCCCTTGGCCAGTAAAGCGAGATGAGTACCGCAACCCCAGAGTTGGTCACGACTGGACCTAATGGTCAGGGGTCCCTTTACCTTTACCTAGGAGCCACATCAAAAGAAAGGAAAGATGTATCCAGCCTCTGACTGAGTACTTTCTTAGTGCTCTGGCTTTTTCTATGCTAACTGGTGCAGGCAAACTTGGAAACCTCAGTATTCCCCTAATTCACTTCCCAAAGCAAAGACAGACCATCACTTACCCAGGAGCTCTTGAGTGATTATGTCATTGCTCCTGTTCTGAAATAAGTCCTGTTGTTCTCGCCGATCAGAAGGTCGGCGGTTCGAATCCCCGCAACGGGGTGAGCTCCCGTTGCTCGGTCCCTGCTCCTGCCAACCTAGCAGTTCGAAAGCATGTCAAAGTGCAAGTAGATAAATAGGTACCGCTCCGGCAGGAAGGTAAATAGTGTTTCCGTGCGCTGCTCTGGTTCGCCAGAAGCAGCTTAGTCATGCTGGCCACATGACCCGGAAGCTGTATGCCGGCTCCCTCGGCCAATGAAGCAAGATGAGCGCCGCAACCCCAGAGTCGGTCACGACTGGACCTAATGGTCAGAGGTCCCTTTACCTTTTTTAAATAATCATAACTGTGATCAGATCATTGTGGCCTTGTATGCAGTTGCCAAGGTACTTCGGAATGTGCATTCTTTTGAATAATATTTTGTCACCAATTCCTTATTCCTGTGCAATAATTAGACATCCTGCAGCCTCAATTATGTTCTTAGATTGGCATATTGAAATAAAGTGCATCTGTTTAAGTAGAAGTTATATTAATCACTTAATAAGCTTAGCACTGTGTGGTCTCATGCTAAGTAATGAGATCTGGGAATAATAAGAACAGCTTGACTTCTCTCTTAAGCATTAACAAAAGTCTAAAAATGGACTTTGCTGCAGTTAATAAAAAGCCACACCACATATGAACAAAAAAGGCTTTGTCACAAAAGCGTGGGGAAGGGAAAGGGAGAGCTCGCCCTCTACTGGCAGATTTCATTACAATACATTTGTAGTTTCATCACTGTAGATAACTTCTGTGAAGCAATTCATTGGTGCTATACCGGAAGCATTTAATTCAACTGATTGGCAGCATTCCATCGATTCGATTACTTATATAACACACCGGATATGTTCACTTCCTATCCCACCATTTTGTGCAATGTGTAAAGCATATCATAAGCCCCATCCTGGAAATATGAGACTCTTTCAGCCCTATCTTATGCATGTTTACTTTAGAAGTCCCAAGGTGTTGGGTGGAGCTTACTCTCAGGAAAGTGTGCATATCGGATCACAGCCTCAAGAACGTAATTGTGGGTTTAACCATTTCAAGGAATTTGGGTATGCCAAACTTTCCCTCGTTTTTTTCTGGATGGGTGCAAATCCGCTGCATGCTTATTTCAGTATAGATCCCATTAAAGTCAGTGGGACTTATAACCCATTCCAATGGATATTTAATTATAAGTCAGCTAAACTTTTGTTGTGCTAGCCAAAGGCCATGGCATCTTCCGAAGTAGTCGGGTGGGGAAAACAGCAGTCGCTACATTTGCAGTAAAACCATGATCAGATCCACTGAAATTTCTTACTTTTTCTTTTTATCTTTTCTTTGTTAGGTCTTTTTCTCAGCCTACTCTCTGTTTTCTTTAAAGAATTTATTTCTTTGGTTTTTCAGATTAAAGTTTTACAATCACATATCCAACATACAACATGAAAACAAGATTCCAAAGAATCTCCTGGACTTCCCTCCTCCCCTTTGTGGGTCCTACTTTTAATCATTTCCTCCTACATCTTTTATGACAATCCAGACCTTTTACATCTCCATTATGTCCAAAATTCACTATTAAACTAGAAGTGTTATTCCAATCCTACTAACGATTTCAGCTGTTTACAGTGTTTTTCATGATAAATTATAAATTTTCCTCATTACTTATTAAAATTTTGGTCTTCCTGATTTCTTATTCTTCTGGTCATTTTTGCCATTTTGGCATAATCCATCAACTTGATCTGCCATTCTTCTCTGATTGGGACTTGATCTTCTTTCTATCCCTGGGCCCATAACACCTGTGCAGCAGTGATCATACATAAATATAGTCTTTTCTGCTCCGTCGGGATTTCAGTGCCTAAAATCCCTAAAAGAAAGGCTTTTGGGGTTTTTAGAAAAAGTTATTTTAAACATTTTTTCCAATGCATTATATATCATATCCACCGAAATTTCTTATTACACAGAATAAAAAGTAATTCTCAAATAAAATGTGCAAATTAGATCTCAGAGTCCCCATTGCAATTGACCGTTAATTATAAGGGTGTTTGTAGAATCCAACCCCCTGCGATGCAGGAATCTTTTGCCCAAGGTGGGGCTTGAACCCGCAACCCTAAGATTAAGAGTCTAGTGCTCTACTGACTAAGCTATCCCAGCAGTTACTGCCACAGCCACCTCTGCCTTCATCCAGCCCCCACCTGCATGCTACCTTTCTTATATCCAGTCCAAGGAGTGGCACTGCTTATCAGCTTTGTCCTCCTTCGTCTCGGTGTTGCCCTTGCAGAACTCAGGAGGGAGGGAGATGGGGACAAAGCTAGAATTAGTGGGCTCTGCATGTTGTTGACTCTGGCTCCACTCCATGTTGGCCTCCTTGTCGTCTTCCCCATCAGTTTCACTGTGCATGAGCCACCATAGATGGTCTTGGAAGACCAACGCCTTCCCACTTTGAATTAAGCTAAGCCTGTAAGGACCTGACAAAGTGTCTGAAAATCTTCCACCACTGGAATTCTTATATAAGCCACTCTGCGTCTCCTGTAAGAAGAACATGGCATGAGCATAATAAATAAAATGTAAGAAGGTGGAATAATAAAGCACTCTGTGTACACGGAGAAACGTTAAAGTGGAAAATAATAACAAAACACTGCAATTCCTGAAAACAGAGGCGCTAGCTACTTTAACGATCTTCTCGTTTTCATTCCTTCTCCAACTTGATGTTGTTTCAGATGTGCATCTTCCAGTTGCCCTTTCTGCCTGCTCTGAATCAAACATTGTACCTCTTCATACCAGGAAGTCCCAAGATAATAACAAAAGGACAAGTTTTACACAAATATTGCATCAGCCGATCGAGAACGCTCAGCAGTAAGAGTCTGGTTTTCTGTTCTTAATACTTAATAACTGCATCCGCATGAGTTGAACTAGATGTTACAATTTCCCTGTGATGCATCTGGATTCCTTTATGATGCCAGTTTTGGAACTGGAAGGGGTATTTGCAAGGAACCGTTCCCTAAACAAGGCTGCCTTCAGATGTCAGATAGTTGTTTATCTCCTTGACATCTGATGGGAGGGCGTTCCACCAGGCGGGCGCCGCTACTGAGAAAGCCCTCTGCCTGGTTCCCTGTAACCTCACTTCTCGCAGGGAGAGAACCACCAGAAGGCCCTCGGAGCTGAATGATGGGGGTGGAGACGCTCCTTCAGGTATACTGGGCCGAGGCCATTTAGGGCTTTAGAGGTCAGCACCAACACTTTGAATTGTGCTGGGAAACATACTGGGAGCCAATGTAGGTCTTTCAGCACCTGTGTTATACTGAACTATAGTGAAATATTATGTGAATGAGCCTATCCTCGTTCCATGCTCACATGCAGCAGGTTATGGGTGACCAGGGCGTGTGACGTCATGACGTTACACGCACACACACACCCCGGTCTCAGAACCTGACTTCCAGTCCCACTGAAAGTCAGGTTCTGAGACCTTGGAAAGTATCTCTGTAGTGAGGCCTCGGAGGTGACTTCTGGTGCTTTGTGAGGCACCAGAAGTTGCGTCGGGGCCCCCACAGTGTAGGCGCTGAGCACCCACAACAAAAAATTTGTGGGTGCTCGGGCACCCAGAGCCCCCTATAGTTGGCGACCCTGCTCACATGCAACCAATTTTCTCTCCCCCATCGTTGTGGCTGCAAGGAGAACATCTGAGGCTTTCATTTCTGCTTTTGTTCAATCATGACTTGTCATGTCATCTGAATGGACAAAACTGTGGCTAAGGTTAACTATGGCTTGCATTAAGCAAGCAAATATCGACATATGGCTAAACTGGTGTTTAGCATAGCATCAAAATGTGTCCAAATTGAAGCATGCTGGTTCTGCTAGGCTTTGGGGGGTATATTGCTGCTTTGTGAAATGGAGGTCAAAGGTTGGTGTCTGAATTGTGCAGTGAGATATTTTCAAAACTATGGGTCCTCAGAAGGTGGGGACCATTTTGGCTTCATTTCAGCAGGAAAATATTTGGACCAGCACTGAGGAACATAATGGGAAGCATTTTTCTGCCAGTTAAACAGGAAGGGAAGAACTTTTGATAGAAAGGAAGCAGCCCTTGCCTAACATTGTGCTGTAATTTTCCAGGCATCCATCACCCGCTAAAGACACCTTTAAAATTCAAGACATTTCAGTCATCATCAAAGTGTACGTTCTGGTGACATCTTTAACACCTCTGCGGGCATTCATTCATTCAACTGCTGTCGTCTGGTATCCGCCCAAGAAGAAGCACTTTTCAGTCAAGGTAAGCCTGTGCTTTCATCTTCATTTCAGTTTTATTACCAAAGAGCTTGAAAAACGCTTGGTTTGTTGGTTTGTTTTATTTCCCCACTTGTGTAAGAAGCTCTTTGCATCTTATCCACCGTGCACTGAAATGAAAGTTGGCTTTATAAATGCACGGGTGAGAGTGCTCAGATTTTGAAATCAGCTAGAGATGTGCAGAATACAATAGGACAATCTCAATCTCTTTTTAAAGTTCCCACCCATGTTTTTCTCTGTCTGTCATTTTCACCCTTTTAGACTTTGACCGGATAGTGGTACAGCCAGTTCCTTCAGCATCTGGTAGATGCCGATAGTATGTTAGGGTCCTTATTTCAGCCAGACTGCATATTACAGATATAATCTTGGATCCCATCTCTTGCTGGGCTGTGGCTTCACGAATTTCATGAAGATGAAGAAATGCAACATAATTCAGGGTTTTGAAAACTCCTGCATTTTTTTTCCTTTTCATTTGCAGCTGCAAGCCTTTTTCGAAACCGTCTTGAAAGGCAATTCCCCACAGCAGGCGCTGGAGGACATGAAAGAAGCAATAACCAAACTCTTATTGATAACTGAGGTTTTTAGTGAAGCCCCTTCTTCCGGACCAAAGGCCTCCAGCCAGTAAGGAGATTGAAGCACACAAATTGAAATAAGCTGAATTTTCTTAGAAATGCTCTTTGGAATATGAAGGTGCCTTGAACCTGGCTTCCAAAGTCTGGGACATAATGGAGCCATGGAGCTTTGCCTTGATGGGTTTATTTGAACGCTCAGAGTCTAAAACAGGGATAGATACAGAAAGAAGTATCTGTTGGTAAGGAGAAAGACTTCTTTTTTAAAAAGACATCTTCTTGGAATCTGCTATCTGAAGCCACTGAACACTTTCTGAGGTGTTTTGTTCCTTCCTGGTTAAAGTATTGTTGCAGGCAACCCCAGTCTCTGAGTGGTACAAGATTCCAGGGTTTCCGGGCTCAGTTTCCTCTGAATAATAATAATAATAATAATAATAATAATAATAATTTTTATTTATACCCCACCCTCCCCAGCCAAGGCAAGGCTCAGAGCGGCTTACAAGCAATAATAAAAACAAGTTGAATGATTACAACTTAAAAACAAAATTAAAATACAACATTAAAATATTGAAACATTAAAATATTAAAATGTAGCCTCATCGCAGGAGGAGAAGGAAAAGAAAAAAGAAAGAGGGGGAGGGAATCAAATTGGCTCCACGCCAAAGGCCAGGTGGAACAACTCTGTTTTACAGGCCCTGCGGAAAGAAAGCAGATCCTTCACAGCCCTGGTCTCATGAGGCAGAGCGTTCCACCAGGCCGGAGCCAGAGCTGAATGAGGGTCAGCGGAGATTGTGGTGTCTGTATAATATATGGTTTATTTACACATATATACAACTTGAGACTACAGTGGAGGGGCTCACAGCCTCAATGCTGCAAGAGGGTCTTGCTTCTCCCATTGCCCCTGCCTTCGATTCTGGCAGAAATCAGACATGGCTCTCACTCTTTGCCTTCTCAGCTTTGCCTTGCTACCAGCTTCCAGCTTCTAGTTCACATAATTCGACTCTCAGTTCTGGCCTTTGTCTTTCTAACTCCCAGCGAGTTGAAGGAGGGTCCCCCACCCATTTTCTGTCTGGCACAGAGTCACTTCCTTTGTTACCTTACTGGCCCATTGTTAGAGGGCTATTATCTCTCCAGGAAGCTAGCCTGGCTATTCCAGGATTTGAATCCTGGTTTCATGCATACAATCTATCTCCACCCCCTCTACAAAAAACAAAACCCCTCGTAACAGTATTATTCACAGGCCAGTCATTCAAATGGGAAAAGGGGGCTTTCTGAGAGAGACGTAGTGCATTTTGAAATCTGTATCTTAGGTCATTGCCTCCTTTGAAGACAGAACCAACTCTTCATTTCTGTCATCTTACTTCAGGTGCAGTTCCTGCTTTCAGATGCTAACCTTCGACGTTGGGCTCAGCCACTCTATGGATCCGGTTATTCTTGAGGTAAGCAAGCGTCGGCAGCATCTCCCCACATGAGCAGCTGCCTGTGGCTAAGCGAGGGGAAATCCTATAGGAATTCCCAGTGAAGTTTCCTTATACTGCAGTGCTTTAACGCATCACACTGGAACGGTGAACATAAAAGTAAACCCAGAAACAGTAACATGAAACACCTTTTCTGTTCTGATAAACAAGCCCAGATGGATTCTATATTTATGGTCAAACTGTAGGTACTGAGAGCAGTGCACTTGATAAATATTCATCTCCAAATGAGTTAATAACCTTAAGTTAATAACCTTCCTAGGTACATGAACACTTTGATTTTCAAGCTGACAGAGAGTCGGATTCTCAGGACCAAACTGTTAAAGAAACCCTTCTTGGAGATACTTTCAGAATTCTCTTAGCAAATCAGTCATCTTCCTCTACTTTCTTTGAGGCTTTGCAGAACGTTTACCGATCAACAGGGATTAAGGTATTGGTAGATCTGTTTATCTAATATTTATTACACTTAATTAGTCGCTTTTTTAAAAAACCAAACAATCTGATCACCCTGTAAAATATCTGTGCTTTTCTGTGTTTGTCCAGCATAAGAGTAAGGCTATACTCCTGCCAACCCAGCAACTTCTTTCTCAAAATATCCTCTGCTACTCTCGACCAGGTTTAACTTGGCACCAGTGTTAACCATGGTTAATGTTAATGTTACTCTATTTTAACTCAGAGGTGGGTCATGTCTTGTGCTATGAGGCAGAGATATGAGGTTCCAGAAACATGCTGCTGGCATGATGTAGAATCTCATAAGTTCAGATAGTATGCTCACCCTGTTTCTAGTATTCTGTTTATTTTAAGCACAATCCTGAACATGGTTTGCATT